AGTAATTTTCAAACAGACTCCTGGATCACAAATAAGATTTTCCAAAACATGACTTACCTCTTGTTCCAAAAATTGCTTGTGCTTTCGTGCATTTTCGTGCCTCCACAGTTTTAGGCAAATAATTGCACCAATAAGATAAATAATCGTTGTTACAAACAGGAAGATAATTCCTGCTGTCTGTCCTCCTTCTATACGGCAAAATGATGCATTCATTGGTGTGGTAAATAAAGGGTAGTAGCAGAGTCCTCCTCTGTTAGCATCATTTACATACACTATAGCAGCTGACATGTACAGAATAAACAACGCAACATTGATCCCAAATTCAGTTAATGGCCACCAGTGGGAATCTAGGAGAATGGTCCTATAGTACATTGACATGCCAAGTGCCAGAAGAATAATAGTCACAATCCAAGCAAGTCCTGCTACGACAAGAACAAAGGGTGTTTTAGGCCCACTGTAATAGTAGCCTCCATACATGCTGCTTGTCCCATAGCCATATGACTGTGACAAGCCAAAGGCATTATACCATTCATTGTCTTTGTGAATATAAGCTGTGACACAAGCAAACACAGCTGCCCCTAAGAGTAGTTCAGCAATACCCAGGATCCTGAGCAGCCCTGCCCATGATTTCATGTAAGAGTATCTCAGATTATAAGCTTCTACTTTCTCACTGTAAGCCAGAGCTGTTTGAGTTTGCCGCCCCAAAGACCCATAAGGATCAGGTGGAATCATGGCTTCAGCTTCTTTGTGTGAATTGTAGGTTCCATATGGATCTTGATAAGAGCTGGGAACTGAAGCTTGCTTTGGAGTAAGCCCCTGATCCTCCATATGGATCTTGATAAGAACTGGGAACTGAAGCTTGCTTTGGAGTAAGCGTGGGTGATGAAGGTGGTGAGCATTCAACTCCATCAGAAATAGCAGATACTGGTTTATTCAATTCAGGGTCATTTTTTTTCCCTTTGAAGAAGTTCTTCCATGAGTCTGGAACAAATTTTCTCACTGGCTTGAGATCAGACACCTCAGCTGGTTCTTCACTGTCACTTGGATAAAATTCAGGCCCAAAGGGAGGTTGCAATGGAAGAGGTGGCGGTGGAAAGGAAGCACCGTTCAGTATTTGTTCATTGTCCTGAAAATCTGTTTCAGCATCTCCTTGTGAAGGGGAATCAACGTACACTTCATCATAATGAACAGATCTACCGGGGTGCCCTGGTCTGCGTTCCGCTGATGTGTTCCTTGAAGACATTTGCAACCTTTCCCCCTGTTTCAGAAATTAAAGTGTAAGAAAAAACAAGATTTCAGTCCCCAAGCCAAAAAGTTTAAACAAAATGTTTAACAGTCCAATTCCACATTTTTTCCTTTACTATTCCCACTGGTACTGGGGTTCACCAAGGTTTAGCCACTGCCCAATGGAAGAAGTTTGTCCAGGACTTCAAAAGCAACAAAAAAGAGAGCAACTTCAAGCGTTTAAAGACTGCCTTTTCCTCCCCAACCAGTAAATTCCAGTTTGCCCTCATATATTCCCAGGATTGGAGGCTGATTTTTCCGGTAGTCACAACGCTTCGTTTTGGCACTGAATCACCATTCAGACGTGCAAATTAAAGAATATGAGAGGCTAAAGACGGTGACAAACTGTGCCCGCTCCCCAATCACTCCAACCTTTTCTCCTACACAAGACAGGAACTTTGCCGCGAACACACTTTGCTATCGAAATCCGGCCAAAGAGAAAGAGGCCTCAAAATACCTCACGGAAATTTAGGGTCTCAGCCTACAAGTCCCGGGCCTTTCGGGACACCGAGATTTTTCCCTGCCCGTTGCTTCCTTCCCGCTTCTCTTCCCCTCGCCCGGACAGGCACCTCCCTCAGGAAACGGGGAAAGGGAGCCGCACTTCGCGTGTTCTGCCCTCCCGCCCACTTTCAGGCACCCCGTGCGAAACAAAGGGGGCAGGATTCGCTCTCACCCAGGTGAACCTTGGCCGCGCTGGTTCAGGACGAAGCCTTCCTGTCCGTCAGTCCCAGCTCGGCTCAGGAAATGGGGCGGGCCAAAAGAATACAATAAAAGAACCCAGGAATCGTGCGAAACAAAGGGGGCAGGATTCGCTCTCACCCAGGTGAACCTTGGCCGCGCTGGTTCAGGACGAAGCCTTCCTGTCCGTCAGTCCCAGCTCGGCTCAGGAAATGGGGCGGGCCAAAAGAATACAATAAAAGAACCCAGGAACGGCGGCAGGAAAGCCGCTCTGTTGGATAGGGAGAGCCCCCCAGCGGGGTTTTCCCTGCCGGCGACAAAAGTCTCTTCGCGCGAGTCGTGCGCTCAGATAGGCCTTCATCTCGCCCACCCGCCCTCTACAGGTAGAGACTCACCTGTCGGACCGCCCCCTCCAACTGAAGATGTTGCTGCTTCCGCTGGAGAGAGACTTTCTCCGCTAAAAGTGCCTCCGCCCCGCGTCAGAAACTGGAGATCTAATTTTTTCCAACCCTGCAGGCAGTCTATTAACTATAGC